ACAACAACAACAACAACAAAGACAGAATTGGTGAAATGCCAAAACATGTCACATAAGTACTCAGAGCTGCGAGGACACGGGACACAAGGGCAGAGAGAAACCATCTTGGGCCACCAGCCTGAGGAAAGACTTCCTGGAAAAAGTGGCCTTGAAGGACAGGCAGAGATGAGGCTCAATCCAGAGAGCAAGGAAAAGCTAACGGAAGATGCAGAGCTGTGCATGAGCATGAGGACAGACAGGACCAGCCCTTCTGGGACCAGAGCTGTCACAGTACCCACAGGCATCCCAGAAGCTGGAGCCATATAGATGAGGTGGAGCCCAGTTTTGAGGAGCCTGGAAGTGTGGGCTGCAGAGCTGGCCTAGGTCTGGCCTGCAGTGGGGAGGCCCTGCAAATCCAGCGGGGCTGGGATAAGTGGTGGGTCTGGTTGGAAGCAAGGAGGTCCCGGGTGACAGGATCTGAAGGCTGCAGCAGAGGAAATGGAGAGAATGGCACTGATGTAGGCAGTCTTTCAAAGCAAGAATCTGCAGGATTTGACAACAAAGTGGACACAGGCAATGGGAACATGAGGGGGGACAGGTTCTCAGGTAAGAACTCTCTCAAGTTCTCTGGGTCAGTGGTTCTCAAAGTGGGGTTCTGGGACTAGGAGCACCTAGGAACCTGCTACAAATGCAGATTCTCAGGCCCATATCAGACCTGCTGAATCAGAAACTGGGGTATGCCCAGCACTGTATTAACAAGCCCCACAGAGGAGATTTGATGCTTGGCAAAGGAGGACCATTGTCCTAGGTGGTGGATCAATTTAGTCAACTAGCTCCAGTCAGTGCCAGAGTTGGGACCATGGCCACAGCCTCACATTCCCTTCCCCTTCCACACAACCCAGATTCCTCCGGTGGCCCGGATCTCCGTGAAAGCCCCAGCCGCGCTAGAGGCGACAGCCACAGGCTCAGAGAACGGAGCTGTTCTGACAAGAGGGTAAGTGCTGTCTCCCCGCCTGCTGCCTGCAGGGCTCCCCACACAGTCCTGGTCCTGCCACAGAGCAGTAACAGGTGGCCTGGTTTACAGACTCTCAAGATGCTAAAACAAAATCCATGCCAGCTTTAAATTACCTTTTAATGAGGGCAATAATCCTGGGTCTCTGCAGTGTCTTCTCAACTGTTTCCCTAGGATTAAGCTGAAGTGTTTTTGATGGTTTCCACTTCATTAACACCACTCTGTAGACTTAGAGAAGTGTCATTTGGGAGGGTTTTTTGGTTAATTAGATAAATGTAATTACAGGTCATATTCAGAGCCTGCTGGTAGGCACACTGGTCTCAGAAATGCTTCATAAATAAGGTTAAGGGCTCCTGCCCAAAGGTAAAGAGGTACGTAAGAAAAGTTTCTAATCAAGTTTATAACCCCCACGATTTAACTGATCCAGAACCAGCAGCTAGAATAGCAGGAGGGGATAATCCCCCCCACCAGGAACTCCCTCACTGCCTTCAGTGTTGCATTAAGATGGCAAGCATATATGCAAAACTCAAGTCAACATGTACATTTATGCCCCTGCCACTATCCTCCATACTGCACATAGCGGAAAAGTGAGTTAGGGAGTGATGAATGGGGTCTACTCCTTGAGGGAAAAAATTAAAAGTCTGGCTCTGTGAAATGACTGTCCTCCTTACCCACCCCTGGCTTTTCTCTTTAGATCCAGACATCTCAAGAAGATGACTGAAGAGTATCCAACCCTTCCCCAGGGGGCAGAAGCCTCCTTACCGCTGACAGGAAGTGCTTCCTGCGGTGTCCCTAGCATCCTCCGGAAAATGTGGACAAGGCACAAGAAGAAGTCTGAATATGTGGGAGCTACTAACAGCGCCTTTGAGGCTGACTAAAGGTGACCCTCCCTAGGTGCCCTGCGTTGGCCAAAGTTCACCGTACAAGGGAAGAAAACTTCCAGATGGGAACTGAGCCACATTCACCTCTGCTAGTAGCTGGTCCAAACACATCACCGCCCCTTACTAACCGATAGCCCCGGCTTAGGATACAGGCAAGGAACTTCCCTCGAAGGCAAAAGAAAAGTGTGCCTTCTTAGAATCGATAAAGCCATTGGTCTGAAAGTGGCTTTGGGAGGTCATGGAGTTTATATACCTATCTTTAAGCAAACCACACCACAATCAAACTTTCTCAACCCATTTTAAAGACCTCCAAGGAAGGAAGCAGGCAATTCCTCAGTCTTCCTTGTGAGTTGTTCTAATGTGTGTGATTTCTGGTATAAATATAAGAGCTTGATGTTTGAGGCACTTGTGAACACAGTGGTTCTTACTATTCCTCTTATCACATTTATTTCATCTTGACAAAGTACAATTTTTAATGACAAAGCACTATATATTTACTTCTACTTCTAATATCCATTTGACAGTATTGTCAAGATTGATATTGATCATTTGGCATGATTGCATGAATTCTCTATTCTTTTACATGCAGTTTTTCTATCGAAAAACATGATTAAAAATTAAATGTTGAATGCTAATGTTTTCTGAAGTGGCATAGTCTAGTGAAATTAATAATACCTTGCATTGGTATAATGATTTTAACTTTTAAAAGTGCTTTCCCATCCAATATCTCTTATCTTCACAAAATCCCTGTTAAAGAAAGCACAATTATTCCCAATCTACAGATGGGGAAGCCAAGGCCTTATGAACTTATGTGACTGGATATAGTTAGTGGTATTAGATACTAGGTCCTTAAGTCCACCAGACTCCTTGCTTTGCTTACTCTAGTAACTGAGGAAGGTTTTGAGGGACAGAAGTATGTCTCTGGGGGCAATGTTTGAAAGGAAAATTTTGATAAAGTTGGAAAAAGGGACTTAAATGAAACACATTATGTAGTAGGTTGAACTAGAAGAAATTGCCATTTCTATAGGTCAAAAATAAATTGATCATTTATTTCATATGGTTCAACCTAATATATAATATTGTGCTTTCCCTCTCTTAATGGAAATGTTATCAATCCCATCTTTAATATCAATAGACTTACAATGATAATGTGATAATGACAGCTCTCATTTGTTAAATGCCTACCATGCACGAGACATGACACTGAGCACTTTACATACATCCTCCCTATCTTTCTAACAACTCTAAGTTAGATGGCCTTATCTACCTACTGGATGACAGTTTAAAGCAGTTACATGATTAGTCTGAAGGTGCCTGACCCATATGGGTGTCAGGCATCAGTGCCTGTGCTTGTATCCCTTTACACAGAATAGTTCAGAACACAGAGAAGGATGATGGTTAGCAAACAATTTTCGTCTCAAATGCTAAACACAGATGATGGGCAGAGGCTGCCTAGAGTGCTGTGTGGGGAGGAGTCTAAGATGAAGGAGTGTGGTGGTCCATTAGAAATGCCTGCCTGTGGAGGGCATTAGTTGCACATGTCCTGAGTATCTGTCATCTGTAGCGTCAACTCTACCCCCAAAAGGCTTGTTTTCTAATTCAGAAGCTTCAATTAATCCAACCCATTTAACAAAATCAGACACTCCATGATGAAATTTAAGTCCAAGACTGGGCTGGAAATTGTCAGGTCTTGGTACAATGAAGAATTTGGCTGCGTTACCAGTCTCAGACTCAATGGTTATTCATAGGCTACTGCTCTGTGGCCACATGTTGCCTTTTGCTGAGTTACCTGTTTCCATGTCTCCAGGTCAACTGTAAGGAGGCATGGAGGAATAAAAGGCCTGGGCTTCTGGGCTTTCACCTTGCTGATCCCTGCCCTTCAGCCATTGTTTTAGACTCTCAGCACCCAATCCTCACGTTGGAACATGACTTGAATATTTGGGCATTGAGTTCTCTTTCAGTGAGGGCCTAGTCTCAATGGACTAATAGTCTTGCACAGTATAGATAATGGCGGGGGGAGGGGTGGTGATTTATGCTGGACCTATCAGAGTATCTATTCTACTATTTATTTTAACTTATTTAATTTATAGCTGATGTTCTCTATTTGTATGTGGCACCTGGAGATTTCTGTAGGATCTAACTTATAAGGAACTAACTTATTTTTAATTTAAATATTTCATGATTAAGTGTTTGCCTGGCATAAAACATCCTAACTGACCAGTTCAAATAAAAATAAAGTATGCTTTGTTTGTGACCTCAATAAACCACCACAAGAGTATGAAGCTCCCTCATAGACTGAGAAGCTTTCACCAAGGGAAAGAATTATGAATCTGGACCTCACTGCTCCTTTACCTAAATGAAAAGGATTGTGAGAAAGAATCCAGAATGTTCTTTCCATCCTAAGGCAGTGTCTGGTTTTGATATTACAGGCCCTGCCCAACGGTCAACACTAGGGCCATTTCTGACAGGGCTTGGCCTGGCATGACCCATCCTCTCTGGACTCACCCTCCTCCCTGATCTTGAGCCCTCAGTCCCACCACAAAGTCCAGGGGGGGCCAGTGGCCATCCCAGCCTGCTGGTCTCTCTCCCCCCTGAGGCGAGGGAAGGAGAGCCTTTCTCCTCTGTGCCCACCTCACGTTCAGCCTCACTGGAGACTGCCCCGTGACTCACGTTGCAGCCACTTGCAGGACGCTGAGGCCAGCTGCAGACTGCTGTCCAGGATGACGGAGCCCGGAGCCTTCCTGTGCCAGAGGCAACAGGGTTTCCAGGACATTTAGGGTAATAAAATCGCCTCTGTTAGGACCAAGTCCAGTCAAATATTTCAGTTCTTACTTGTGTGCTCTCTGGAAGTCCCCCCACCCCTCCCAATACTTGGGTTGCCTTCAGAGCAGGCAGATGGGCAGTGGGCAGGCAGAGCAGCAGCAGCCAGAGCCCAATTTTAAAAGGAATCATGTGATGTGTTGTCTCTGACTCTAAATTGGCAGAGACCTAGGGACAAGCAAGGAAAAACACATGAAGATAACTCGCCTAAGGATTCTAATTCTTAGGAATTGCATGTAGTTTTTAATATAAGAAATGTCAGCCTCTGTTGAGAGGCTGGTGGTGAATGTATTGCCAGAGTGCAGAGGAAGAAAAACTTCATTTTGCAGACAGGCCATGTGCCTAGAAACAAAGTTTTTTATTTTGGGGGTTTTTTGGTCACTTTGGACCTGGCACAAGACTCACACCTATTAATATCCTTTGTTGGGAGGGAGCATGTAGTTTGGGGAAAGGCCATGTGCTATCAAGGGAGTGGCAGCAGAAGAAACCTGACATGGGACTTGTTCACTGACAGGACCCGTGTCAACCTGGTTCCTAGCCCCTAGTCAGTATCTGTGGGGAAACCAAGTAGATAGACTCATAGCATTTCACATCATTAAGTCCTTCCCACACCCCTGGTGCTCCTAGAGACCTCATAAATCTCGAGTCCTGGGCAGAGCCACTGGAGCACAGGTTGTCATGAGGCTAAACTCTCCTCCCAGGGGGGCAAGCAGCCAGGCCTTTACCTGATACCCTAAGAAGCATATGTGCTTTTCCAGGAAGAATGGGGAGGGGAGGAGGAATCTGGACCCCATCTAGCCCCTGAAATAGCAGGGCTGGGGGGTGGTACCTAGAATTCTGGGCAAGT